GGACATGGTAGCTAGAACCTTGATTCCCCAAGAGTATTCAATTCCTAATCCCTGGAACCTATGCATGTGACATGGCATGTGACTGAGTTGTCAGCCTGAGGTGAGAAGATCCAAGATTATCTATGGGTATAGAGCAGTCACCAGTTGGAAGCTGAGGGTCGGGAAGGATGGGGTTGGGTCAGCGTGAAGTCACTGCTCTTTGGTAATCACCCGCCAAACAAAGCATGTTCCTCTGGAAGATGGGAAGGATGGAATATGCCCAATCTTTCCACCAGCCTCCAGATGAACTGGGCCATTGACACTTCTGTTCTAGCCCAGGACACCTGTTTGATCTCTTGACCTTTAAAACTGTAAGATAGTTACTATTGTACTGAGTCACAATGTGAATATTAGCAGCCACAGGAAACACATGCTTAGATATCATCCCATCCCTTACTCTGTGGGAGACCTTCACCCCCTGACTAAGGAGTCAGGGGGCACATATCTCCATGGTGTGTCATGGGTGGGTCTAGCATAGTCAGCCTCTGAACAGTGGGGGTTATATTAGAGGCTGAGGGAAACCCGGGAGTCATGGCAGTGACAGGCTTTCATTGCTGGGCATCCAAAGAAAGTTGGGACTGCTAACAGGCCACAATCAGAATTCCAAGGCCTGAGGATGGAAACTGGCTGCCATGGCCCTCATGGTCCTAAGAGACTCCATTCCATGGGGCAACTGGGTGAAGATGGCTTTACAGGCAGCCAGCTCAGCTCTTTCTGCTTGGCAGGCATTCAGCCTTTCCCCTGTTCCTTCTTTAGGAGCAGGAGAAACTGATGACTGGGTTTATATTGCTTTTGTTCTGTGGAACGCTGGCCCGGCCAGTGCTGCATCTGACCTAAATGTGTCACCGTGGGGTGGAAGCTGGCCCACATTACCCAGACACTGGGCCTCATCATTTAAGTTGCAGAGAGAGGGCTTTGCAGGGAATCATTAGCTGAGTTCATGGAAAGAAAGGCTCAGAAATCCAGCTGGTTCTACATGCTTAGCTCTCTGCACCACCAGGAGAAAGTGCAAAGCCTCCCGAGCTCTGCTGGCAACAGACAGGCTGACTTGCTAAATTGGCAAGGGCTGCAGTGGACCTGCCCCTGCAGCTGAGCCTCTAATGGCTGGGGAGGGCAGGTGATATGGAGAGCTGGGTTCCAGAGGCGCAGCGTTGAAGAAGCAGTTGTAATATTGCAGGCTGAGCTTCCTGCCCTTGGGGATCCTGGGGGGCTAGAGGCATTTGTCAGGGATACACTAAGAGGTCCTCAGCTTCCTTAAAGGGGCTGCACACATGCCCTTCCACACCAGCAAAAATGTTCTATGCACCCCCCCACCTTGGGAAGGGGGTCTTGGAAAGTGCTCACATCTGTCTCAGCAATGCTAATCATCTGCCATGAGTGGAATATGGTGATGAGCCTTCATGATTTAGTGACACCAGGAAGATGCAGACATTCAGGGGAGGCCAATTAAGGAAAGCCCAATTTCCTGTTCCTGGCTGAGCAGCATACAGTGTAGAGAGAGAATTGCTTTGATCTTCACATGGGCTGGAATCCAAGAAGCCATGGGGTAGTGGGGGATCAGGTGATCTGGCAGGAAAGTATCAGACCCCCAGCTCAGCCCTCCTCCCCCCCTCCCTCAGTCCCCTACACCCCAGCAATGATGTAAGGCTTCCCAGCTCTGTTTATCCCGTGCTGGGAGCATCATCTGTATAGAAACAGAGATGGGGGGTAGGGATGCTCCAGGCCAAGTCTGCTCACCCATCTGGTTCTCTTAATTGTTTTTTTTAAGATTCATTTATTATTTTTATATGTACATATGATGGATAGTTTTACATCAACTTGACACAAGCTAAAATCATCTTAGAGGATGGAACCTCAGTTAAGAAAATGCCTCCATAATATCTCCTGTAGGGCATTTCTTAATTAGTTATTAATGAGGGAGGACCCAGCCCATTGTGGGTGGGGCCATCCCTGGCCTTTTGGTCCTAGGCTCTATAAGAAAGCAGGCTGAGCAAGCCATGAGGAGCAAGCCACTAAGCAACACCCCTCCATGGCCTCTGTATCAGCTCCTGCCTCCAGGTTCTTGCCCTGTTGGAGTTCCTGTCCTGCCTTCCATCAGTGATGGACTATGATGTGGAAGTGTAAGCCATATAAACCCTTTACTCCCCAACTTGCTTTTGACTATAGTGCTTCATCATAGCAATAGAAACCCTAACTAGGACAGTGTGTGTGTGTGCCTGTGTGAGTTTATGTATACCACATGAGTGCTGGTGCCCAGAGGCCAGAGGGCATTATATTCCTGGGAGTTAGAATTACAGGTGGTTTTGGGCTCCCTGATGTGGATTCTGGGAACAGAACCTGTGTCCTGTGCAAGAGCAGTAAGCATCTCCCCAGCATCCCTACCCCCATTTTTTAAGATTTATTTCCACACCTGGCCATGCACAGTTGCCTTGAGTGCATGCCTGATTGCCTGCCCCGAGTTGCCTGAGCTGAGTAGATTTCTACCTTTGGGAGAAAGCTCACTGGTCCATCTTAGTGGAGGCTAGCAGATGGTTGGTCTATCCACCTGCTTATTCAGTGAGCCCCCATAGAGCTCCTGCTGTATCTATCCCAGGCTGCAGGAGGAGCCAGACTGCTGAGCATTGTGTCTTGTGGGGGGAATTTCCTTGCCTGTCCATCTCAAATCATCATACAATCTCTATGTTGTAAAGAGGCCCAGGCTCTCTTAACTTTCATCTATCTCCATGACCCTCTAGGCCAACATGGTCTCCCCTCAATTATAGGCAAGTCTCTGCCTGCTAGGGGTTCAGGCCAGGTAAGGGCTAGCATCTAGGCTTACCCTAGGGGTCTATTCATATGCCTGAGGCTGCTTTCCAGGTCCCACCCAGACATCTGCTCTGGGCAGCATATTCTCCCCAATTAGTGTCCCGGGAACTTTGACAGAGGCTAAGGCATAGGAACTCAGTATCTACCACTGAAGCTGTGTATAGCTGGGCCCTCACAGCTGTACCAAGAGACAAGGGGGCGGGGGGATTGAGGTAGCTTTACCTCATAGCTCGGATTAGCAATGGGATGAGTGGGATGCCCTGTGAGGTCTAGGACTCATGGATGAGGACCCTAAAAGCCCAGGGCCTTCTGCTACCTCTTTGGGCAAAAAGTATCATGGACAAGACTCTTAGCACCCTCATTCCCCCTGGGTCAGTGTTCTCAGGAATCCCAACATGACCAGAGTCAGCATGCTTGATGTCTAGGGCCTTGGCAGTGCTGTGAACATAGGCCTTTTGAGTGATCAGGGCCTTGGCCCTTGTGGAATTCACATCAACCCTCATGTACCATCACTGTCCTCTTCTAGGGCCTGGCCAGTCCAGAGTATGGATCCCTGTAATCAAATCACCTGTTTATGTTGCTAAATTTTCACTGAGCTGTCCCCACCTATCATCCTTTTACTGTGCCCTTGATGTCTTGAGCTGGCCTGGGCCCTGCGGCTGAAGACAGTGAGAGTAGAGTCCTCCCTCTGGAACCTCCTAGGATGGTGGAGTGGAGTCAGAGAAGCCCGTGAATGAATATAGAAATAGACATGTGATTAAGAGCATGGAGACAGGCATATTCTTGAGGGGGTGGGCATGTTCGCCGTGCTCTTCTCCAGGGACCTATGTGGTCTCTGGCAAACCTCACCCAGAACCATAAGGAGTGTCATAGCCTCCCTTCCCTAAGGTCATATCCTGCGTGGTCAAAGTCAAGGGACAGTGTGTAAATGTCTCCCTACACGTGTGAATGGTCATGGAATGCCAAGGGTGCCTAGTGAATACACCTTAGGACTCTGCTCCTGATTCCATCCTGCACTGTATCTTTGCCCTGTGGGGAAGGGTCAGCTGGATGAGAGACCTCTGTCCCTCTCTTCCTGAGCCCTACCCTCACGCACCTAGAGGGCTGTTTCTGTTCCTGTCTACCTTTTTTCTAGGATTCAAGACTGCCCAGAGCAGTGCCGAAGGCTGTCGCTCAAGACTCCCTCCTGGCTCAACCATGTCTGTGTGAACCATGGGGGAACTGAGCACATAAAAAGTAGTGTGTTGAGGGTGATGGCCCTTCACTACCAGAATCCTGGCTGCATTAAGCTGAGTGAGAAGAGAGATAAAGAAGTGCTAACTAGGACCCCTTTTTTTCATGCCAGTTTGGAAAAAGTGGAGGGGGTCAGACCTCGCACAGTTGTGAGTCTGTGACGTGAATGAGTTCTCATGTGCTCAGAACAAAGGGCAATTCTGCAGTGACTTTGACCTTATGTTTTGATCTCTGCAGTTTGAGGCCACTACCCTCCTCAGCTCCTGGCTTCCTCTACCCTCCAAGCTGCCAGTTTTCCTGCCTAACACCCCTCCCCTAGCCATCTGCAGTCTGGCTCCTTAGTTTCATACAGGGCTTGACTCTGATCTGACCTTCATGAGGGTCTTTCCAGGGGTACCCCACCCCCTTCCCATACCTCTTACTACCTCCAGGCTCCTCTGCAGTGACGTGGCTTGAAGCTAGCTTGTCTCTTTTCTGATGCTGGTACCTCCTGGAGTTTTTAGCCTTTCTGTCACAGTCATGTTGACCCAGTCACTTGTGGTGTATGCCCCAGGGTGTCCTGTATGTTGGTGACTTGGCTAAATGGCTTGTAGTTCTCCTTTGTACCATTATTGAGCATAGTAAAAGTCCTTACCCATGCTTTGCCCTGTCTTGTCCCCAGTTGTGTTTAGAATCCCAGTTTAGAGCCCCCCAACACACAGGGTGTGTACCCCAGAGGAGGGGTTAGAGAACTGCTAACCCCCACAGACAGCAGAATGGGACACTTGCCAACTGAGCATTCTGCAAATTTGACAAAGTTCAAGTGCTCCAGCCCCATACAGAGCACAAACCCATCCGCTATTCTCTGCTGTTCGTGAGTTGGGCAGTGCTGTCAGAGGGGACAGTGGGCCTAAGTGCTCATCACCTGGCTCTTCTCTCCATAGAGGAGGAGCTCCGGAAGCTTCGGGAAGAGACCAACTCAGAGATGCTGCGACAGGAGCTCGATCGGGAGCGGCAGCGCCGGATTGAACTGGAACAGAAAATACAAGAGGTGCTGAAGGCCAGGTGACAGCCACATTCATCTTTTCTTATTACTGTAATAACGGTACTTATAAAAGGAGTGGTGTAGTTGGCTCATAGTTACAGAGTTTGAAGAACACGGTACCAGCATTGGTTCAGCCCTGGTGGCGACTCATGGTGCATGGTGGGAGAGTGTATAGGAGAGAGATTACATCCTGCTAGAGGCCAGACAGGATCAATCACATTTAATGACCCTTTGGTGACCTTAGTTCAGGGTATCAGAGAACTGCATTAATTTCTTCCCAGGACTGCTTCTAGGACCTGAGAACTTTCTACCAGGCTCAATCTTTGAAAGGTTCCCCAAACTCCACCATCATATCAAGAATTGAGCTTCATGAACCCTTGAAAGAGAAGCCACAATTTAAACCACATCATTCACCCCCTCCTCAGTGGGCAGGGTTTCCTGGACCCTCAGCTTGGATCCTTGATATGATCATGGACTAGGAGAGGTGGGGACTAGGCCACCTTAGAAATCTTGTTCTTGGTCCCTGAAGGGGAGCAAGGTGAGTTGTACTGCTGGCCTGATGGGACTCCCCCTCCCCCAGCACCTTCATTGTGTACAGCCTCTGTAGTGTTGCTCATCCAGCTCACACCCTCATCCTCACAGGCTTACTCAGTGGGTGACGTTGCCACCTCAGCTTCTGGAAGTGATGTTTACAGGCAATGGCTTCTCCTTGGATACGCCCCTGAACACCTGCAGCCCCCTTACTCATTCATTCCCCCGACCACCCTCATGGTGTGGCCTCTGCTTCGGTTGCCTCTGTCAGGAGGTGTATCAGTGCAGAGCTTCACACAGGCGACAAGACCAAACTTTAGGTTCTGGGTCCTCTGCACAACAGCCATAATGCCACCTGGAAGATAAGGCTGGGGGCCCAGGACCCCAGCTTTCCCAACTTGGCATCTACCCACTGTCCTCTCAGTCAACCCCTGTCTCTGGTAGGCCATAGTGAATGACTCTTAGCAGTTTTGGGCACACACTGCTGCCTCTGGAATACCCCAACTGGACCATCCTTGTCCATGGGGACTAAGTGTTGCTGGGATTTTGCCCCCTGAGTTTGAGCCACGCTGGTCATAGTGCTCACAGCTCAGTGCCAGGCTCTGGTGTGGTCAAATCCACCTCCTCCCAGGCTTAGTCCACAGTGGCAGCTCTAAGAAGCCCAGGTCTTGGGAAGTGAAGCTGCCTGTTCTCTATCCTTGATATTCCTGGTGACAGTTCATGTGCTTTGTGGCAGCTGTTAGTCAGGCCACCCTGACCCCCAGCCCAGATCACTGTGGCCTGTGTAGAGTTTTCCAGGGAAGGGCTCACCATGGGGGGGGGTTTCTATTTGAGGAGGAGAGTCTGCCTTGCTTTTTAGTGCCTGCTGCAAGACCAGTGCTCCCCACATCAGGCCTCAGCTAGAATTCTCCTGGGTTGAACTCTGACCTTAGAGATTTACAAGTTAAATGGTTTTCCGTTATACATAGGATACCTTTTTCTATGCTGCCTCCCCAGCTTCCCATGAAGGCCAGGCTACCCCCTGGTGGTCCTAGCAGGAGCACTCAGGCTGACCCTGTCCCTGCTACTGCCCCAGCAGCCTCAACGTCTCTTGCCCACTATCTATCCCCTAACCCCGGCCCCACTCTAAGGATCTAGCCCTCCTCTCTCACCTTTCTTCCTTGCTGGGTGAGCTTGTAGGGCCCTGAGTCAGTTCTGTGTACTACTCAGATGTGGATGAGAAAGGGACATCCAGGTTGTGACCCAGGAAGTAGGAATTGAAGGTCCTAGGAGAACCAAGAGGCCCCTTCCCTGCTTCATGCTGAGGATGGGGAAGGGTTTGGGAACCTCCTGGAAGCCTGAAAGTGGAGGGGTTGGAGAGAGGGACATTTCCAGGTAACTAACATGATCATTCCTGATCATGTTAGTGAGCTTTGAGGGTGGGGGTGGAGAAGGGCTGTATAAGGGACATGCGGTGCACACATCCATATACCACACAACACATGTACATATATAGCCCACATACCCCAGATACACACATGTGTACTCACATTGCACCCTGAAGCTGCAGCAGGAGCTGCAGTATAGAGCCTAGGAACTATTGCCTGCAGGAACAACTACTGTGTGCTTGCGGCCCAAGCCAGTGCAGGGTAAGATGACAGATGTCCTGAAACTCCAGAGGAGGGCATAGCTGGTTAGAGAAATGGGATAGAGATGCCACCCAAAGGGTGTGACCGAGGCTGCTGCTGGGGTATAGTTCCAGAGTGTGCCGTTGAATGTATGTGACAATCAGAATCAGACAGGTAGCCAGATAAGAGTCCAGGTGAAGGCAGAGCCATAGTAAAGACTATGATGATCTTGTGCTGAGCTGGGGGCAGGAAGCCAGGGAGATGTTTGGCATGGTCTAACTGGAACGCAGCTCAGGGATGTTTGAGTATGTATCATCCAGCTGTGGCTTCATGTGGTGCTGGATAAAGAGGTGTGTGGTATTCTTGTTAGTAAGCTATTTTTGTCCCTGAGCTTAAGGATGAAATAAGCAACTGTGTTAAAATTAATAGGAAAGGTGAACTTCTTGCTTATGAAACACTGCTTGCCCATGAATGAAGCACCTATGCACTTACTGGGTTCTGTCCTAATCAGCACTCCAGCCTTCACGGAGGCTTCAGGGGCCTGCAGACCCCACCTGTCACTGAAGTTCAATTCCATGTCATGCTGCTGCAGGCGTTTGCACTCCTAAGCTTTGCCTTCTTCATGTTTAAGGTCGGAGGAGCAGCCCACACAGCCTCAGCAGCCGCCAAAGGGACAGAGCCATGCCAGCAATGGCACCGGCACAGGTAGGCCCCTGGGAAGGGATGGTTCTCTCCCCAGCCAGGCCTCTCCTATGTGGGAATCTCCTGCCATGAAAACGGGGTTAGCGTCTCTCCCTGTGAGCTTGTGAGTCATCACACATGCTCAAGGCGCTCCAAAGGTGATCTCATTCCCTTACACAAATGTGACGTGTTGTCTAGTGTGGCCTGACCTCCTGAGAGGCACCAAAAGGCACACTGATTTCACTACAGTGACTTGATGACTTGTTCCCTGTGACCGGTTATCCTACGTGGGGATTGAGTAGACTGTGGCAGGTCATGGCAAGGAATGCCCTAGTCTCCCAGGTAGGGAGCAAGCCTTTTCTCCTCCCCTTGCTTCCTGCCTTAGTGGCCACATCTTGCAACATGCTTGACCTTCTAAAGTTGTCCATCAGAGGAGCCAGGAACTCCATTCTCTCTGCAGTTCTTGTGGGCACTGGCTACATCCTCACAGACAGTATCTCTTCTGCATGCTCACCGTCCACAAGGCTCTTCCTCCCTGTGCCAGTAAGCCTGGCATAAACCATGGCTTAGGTCATTGGCTTTGGGCTGCCCACATCAGGAAGAGGCCCAAAAGAAGAGGCGTCTCCTAAGGTTCTCCCAGATCCGGCCTCACTGCCCCCACTGGCAGCCAGCCCCAGTGCAGGTTTGGCAGTTGCATCCCCTGGGACATGGCCTCCTTGGGCCATCTGGAGTATCTCTGGCCCGTTCCCAGGCTTAGATGCAGAGTTCTTAGCTTGTGAATCTTGGTTACTGAGTCAGGAGCAGTACAAGAAGAGACCCTTACTGCTTGGTGATAGTAAGGATTGAGAAGCGTGGGGTCAGAAGACCCCCAGCTCCTTGGTCCATCACAGAGCTGGGGACCCCTTGTCCCCTTGTCAAGGTCAGGCATAGTTGGTTTTTTTATTTTCCTATTAAAAAAAAAGAAATATTTTTATTTTATGCGTATGAGCGATTTGTCTGCATGTATGTCTGTGTACTGCATGAGTGCCTGGTGCCCAGGTAGGCTAGAAGAAGGCATTGGATCTCTTGGAACAATCGTGAGCTGCTATGCAGGTGCTGGGAATTGAACCTGGGTCCTCTGGAAGATTAGCTGGTACTCTTAACCACAGCCATCTCTCCAGCCTCCCAAATCTAATCTTGATTTCCATGGTCTCCAGGTGTGGTGTGCTGTGTAGAGCTGTGCCTTCTCTATCTACACTGTGGCCCTTGGTCACTCTCCAAGACAGGGAGGATGTGGCAAGGGAGAGGGACCACACCCTGGCTTTACCACACCCAAGATAAATGAAGGACGCTAGCCATCCGGTGTGTGCATGCCTCAGCCCATCCCTGAACCTCAGGTGTACACCTGTCCGGATGAAGCACTTCAGGCCTTTCCCTTCCTAGGAACTTCCTGAGGAGTATGGGAGAAAACATCCTCCACCCTGGTTATGGAAGTCAAGGAGGGGCCTCAGGCTCTGCTATGGGTGGGTTGGCTTCAGGACTGGGTGAAGACTGCCCCCTTCAGGCGGGTGGCCATGTTCCCTGTATCTGGGGTCCACAGATCACGGACCCTGTCTGTTTTTTTCTATTTTACATTTTTTTATTTCATGAGACAAGGTCTTTCTATGTAGCCCAGGCTGATCTTCTTGCGTTAGCCTCCCGAGTGCTACAATTATAGATGTGCAGCACCACGCCCAGCATGGATTTACATGTTTAAATCACTTTTTATGTCTTTAAATAGTTGAAGAAGAAGGAAAAAAAAAAAAAAACTAAAGGAAGAGTATTTCTCAATGAGTGAACCTACTATGAGTCCAGTGTCCATAAATAGTCCAGTTGAAGCACAGGCTGGCCAGTCTTTTGCCTGACCTTTAGACTGCCTTTGGCTTCCAGACAAGCTTGCCTGCCCACCTAGATCTACCTGAAAACCTTGATGGAGTATAATAGAGCCAGACAAGCCTAAAGGATCCCCCTGCCTCAGTAGCCTCTGCCTTCAGTCCTTCTGGCCTGTGTCCTTCTACTTCTGTCCAGGCCGAGTGACCTCATGCTTATGTTGACTGTTGTCCACTCACCCTGGGCCCACAACACACCTGTTGTGTTTTCTTACAGTTTTAATTGACACATGATATCTGTACCTACTTATGGCACCACAGGTGTCTGGTGACCATGTGCCTGCCATTTCCATTCTCTTAAATTATGGTGGGGCAGCGTCCCATGCAGGCAATTCCACATCTTGTTTTCTTCTGTTTAATTAATTAATTAAATTTTTTGAGACAGTGTCTGTGTAGCCCTGGTTGTCCTGGAACTCAATTTGTAGACCAGGCTGGTCTCAAACTCACATAGATCTGCTTGCCTCTGTCTCTCAAGGGCTGGAACTAAAGGTGTGTGCCACCATGCCTGGTATCCACATCTTGTTTTCTTAGGGTACAGTCGGGAGACATCACTAGGCTCAGGCCAGGCAGCTTTCTCCCTGGCATTCTCCCACTTGGGTTGTCATCTGTGGTCTCAACTGTCTGTAATGAAAGTGAGTGAGACATAGCCAGTCACTGTGAGCTCACCCAACCAACAGCTAGATCTCTGGGCCCTGTACCTCAATGCACACACTGGCTGGTCCTCAAGACCTCGTGTGGTGAGCCCACTTAGCCACTTCCCAGACAAACCAGAGGTAGACAGGGAGGGTGGTACAGGCTGCTACCATGGTCTGACGTGGCCTGGACAAAAGCCTAAGGCTGCTGAAAAATTGAGATCTGGAGATTTCTGGGGTCAGGTGTGAGGATGGAGACATCATGCTTTTGAGGGTCTCTATGGCTAGGTTAGCCCTGACCTGTGGTTTTTGGCTTGCACCTAGTATCTTCAGGGAGCTAAGCCTTCAAAGGCCTTTCTGGCTGGGTCCCTTTACAACTTGCTCTATAGTAAAACCCTCACTCTAAACATTTCCTATAACCCTCCCCCCACCAAAATAGGCATTTTCTGTGAGACCACATTCCTTGTCCAGTCTCAGAAGGGATTGTGTGGAACCTGCAGTCCCCTCTCTGATCTCTACTCCTTTCCACAGACCGTCGCAGCCAGGGGCTGTCGGCCCGTGTACAGAAGTGGTTCTATGAGAGATTTGGAGAGTATGTGGAGGACTTCCGCTTCCAGCCAGAGGAGAACACAGTGGAGACAGAGGAGCCCCTCAGCGCCCGCAGGTAGGGGCACCTCACCAAGCCCAAGGAGCTGTGTGCTAGTGACAGGGCCTTACACCAAGCTTTGGTGGGCTGGTCAGCATTGATATCCTGCTGGAGTGGCTGCCACAAGCTCCTAGAGGCCCCCTGTGCCCATGTTTCTGGGGCACCTCCTTGAAAGGGCCCTGTGGGAGAGTAGAGAGTCGTATCATATCTACAGTGACTGACTTGTAGTTTGTGACAAAAGACACGTGAAGCCGGGTGCTGGTGGTGCACAACTTTAGTCCCAGCACTCGGGCAGAAGAAGCAGGTGGATCTCTGTGAGTTTGAGGCCATCCTGGTCTACAGAGTGAGTTCTAGGACAGCCAAGGCTACACAGAGAAACCCTGTCTCAAAAAACAAACAAACAAACAAAAAAAACAAAGGGAAAAAAAGTCACGTGAGAGTCGTGTGTCCAGTGTCCACCATAGGGGGTGGATCACTTGATAGGTCATGGATCTGGTCAGTATGCAGTGGCTCCCCTTACCAGACGCTCTCATAGACCCTGGGGGCTCTGGAGAGCCAGATCATCAAGGTGCTCTTGAGGTAGATGTGACAGGTGGGAGGACTGGTCTATTGTGGTGTCACCCTCACCTTTATAATTTAGGAAGGAGCACCAGGGGCACTCAACATTGTGCTCTGTGTTACTGTGCATGCGTCTCCAGGCACCTGAGGGTCCTGGGCACTTGGATATCCCCCTTGGTTGCTTGCACAGCAGGGCATCGTGAGCGTGCTGGTAATTTCACACTGAACCTTATCTCTCCCTCTTTCAGGTTAACTGAAAACATGAGACGATTGAGTAAGTACTGCGGGCTTAGTGTGGGAGAGGGGAGCTGAACAGACCTCTCCAGAACAACATTTAAGGACAGCTCCTCCCCTGCCCTCCCTGTGATAAAAGCCTGTAGTGGACTCGTGCCTGAGACATACCACATTCAGAGGCTGATGGAGAACTGAGCCTGCTCAGCATTTAGGCAGTGGTTCTCAAAGTTCTCAACCTTCCTAACTCTGTGACCCTATAATACAGTTCCTCAAGACCACCCCCCCACCACCACAAAATTATTGTCGTTATCACTGTAATTTTGCCACCGTTATGAATCGTAATGTAAATATCTGTGTTTTCCAATCGAATTAGACGACCCCTGTGAAAGGGTCATTTGACACCCAAAGGGGTTGTGACCCCCAGGTTGAGAACTGCTGATTTAGGGTGAAGTATGGCTCAGTTCTGTGATACTCTTCGGGCCTCACAGAGTGCAAAAGTGCAAATGGCATCATTCCTTTCCTTTTCCTTTCTCCTGCTACTCTAGGTCTGTACTAGGGGCAGGTGGCATCTCCCTGTGGGAACCGAGGTTAATTGGTCAGGAAGGACACTAGTGTGTGTGTGGGGGGGTGGGCTTCCGTGGGTTGGGTCTCCCATTGCTGAGCTGAGCTGGTTTCACTTCTAGCTGGAGGAGGAGTCATGTGACCCCACTTGTGCGTTAAGAGGCAGCTCAGCACTGTGCTGACCATTGCTGTCTGTTCTGTCCCCAGAGCGTGGTGCCAAGCCAGTCACTAACTTTGTGAAGAACCTGTCTGCCTTATCTGACTGGTACTCCATCTACACCTCTGCCATCGCCTTCACCGTGAGTATTCTCACAGGCTAGGTAGAGCCTGCAGGATACCTGGACCAGGCTTCCTTGTGAGGCCCCCAGGGGGCAGCCCCCAGGCAAAACTGTCCCTTGGGCTCTGCGTGTACTCAGCCTCACTTTCTCTATCAGCAATATAGGTGTGTAGTGGTTGCAGTCTTGGATCACAGACCCCTAGAGACATAATGACTGCTGTCTCTGCATGATATGTACCTCATAGCAGTGTCCTCAAGAAAAGGCCTCTTGGCTCACTGTTTGGTTGTGACCTGAGGCTTGGCCACATGGACTCCAGTGGCAAGACCAGGGAAGCCCCTGACAAGGCATGGTGTCAGAAAGCTGCACCCATCCACCTGCTGGAAGGAGACCCCAGTCTGGACACCTTCCAAAGGATTCACAGATAGTGCCCTCCTTCTGAGGAGGCCCATCTGCAGGGCTTCCCAGTTAGTCTTAGCCTTGGAGGTTCCTAAGATAACCCTAACTCTGGGTCAGGCCCTCCAGTTCCCTCCCAGGGACTCACTGCCCAGCAGGGAGACAGGCCCTTTGTGTACTCACACAGCTAAAGCTTCCCCTGCTCCCTCACAAATGCTCTGAAAGGTTTTCCTGCCTAGGTCCCCATGCTAAGAAACACACTCTTTTGTTCTGGCCTGCCCTGTCTGAATATCACTCAGGGCCTCGGGCTCCATGTGGACCCCCATGGCAGCTCACCTGCAGTCCTTAGCAGTGGTGAGCCACCTTATCAGCTGGCAGAACCCACACTAGGGACAGGAGAGACATCTTCATGGGGCCCCTCCACCCTCTTCTGATCCCTACTCACACAGGGCAGCCTCCCTGTCCACTGCCTGCCTGAGTAGACCTCTCTCTTCAGCTGGAAGCAGCCTTCCTGACTGCCACATCCCACACGTCCTTGTTCAGCTTCCTGGACATTTGGAGAGCTGGGACTGGGCTCCCTGATGAAGGGTCACCTTATTGCAGGGAGGAAGCAGGCAGGACACATCTTGTACCAGACCACTATTTGGCCTGCCAAACCATGTCCCTCACTTTCCGCCCTCTCACCCTCAGGTGTACATGAATGCTGTATGGCATGGCTGGGCCATCCCCATGTTCCTGTTCCTAGCAATTTTGAGGTTGTCCCTCAATTACCTCATCGCCAGGTAGGTGATCATGGCTGTTGTGTGGCCATATTGCACATGACTTCACTGTGTGCCTGCTTCCCATCCCGCTGTAACACAAGATACACCGCGTACTGTTGTTTGTTTGTGGTCCCCTGAGAGGCTCTGGAGACTTTAGGGAGCAGGCAGTGGGTGGATGAACTGCAGTATCCCCCCAATTCCCTCCTTCCCTGAGGTACGTGTGCTTGACAGGAAGTTCTCCCCAACCCTGGGGTGGGTGAGTGAGGCTGCAGGGCTCTGCACCCCATGAACATCCTGATGGTTCTTGGTTGTGAGAAGGAAATGCTGAGCAGGCAAAGTTGGAATTCACAGTGTAAGCGGAGCACACACCCACATGCATGAAGGGTGTATCACTCCACTAAGTCTGAGGCCCTTCCCCCCATTATTCTGTGTCCTCACTGAACACCCCTTGCTGGGGAAGCCACATCTGGGGTGAGCCCTTGCCTGCACTCCTGGGTTGCTCCTAGAATGAGCCTTAGCTTTTTGCCCTGGCTTGTGGAAAAGTCCTTGACTTCAGATTTCCTCTCATCCCCCTCAAAAGACTACAAGTCCATTTGCCAGTCTACTCCATCCCCTTCTGTGCCTACCACAGGAATTCATTTGAAAATGACTTTTGTAGGCCAGGCGTTGGTGGCGCATGCCTTTAGTCCCAGCACTTGGGAGGCAGAAGCAGGCGGATCTCTGTGAGTTCGAGACCACCCTGGTATACAAGTTCCAGGACAGCCTCCAAAGCGACAGAGAAACCCTGTCTCGAAAACCAAAAAAAAAAAAAAAGTCCCCATTAGTCCCCAGCCCCTACTCACCATTAATCTACTAAGAGGCATTGCTGATGTTAATAAAACTTTATTAACTGACCAGTCAGAGGGCACAATGAACTCAAACAAGCACTGTGGCTACAGCTACACACAATGGCTTGGCTGCTGTTGCATATGCTCCAGTAGAGGGGAAACGAGCATGGATGCCCAGTGAGGTCTCAGGAGAGCAACCAAGCTTTAGGAGTCTGGTCTATGTGGCCAGCCTTGAAGGGGCAGACAGCCCCTATTCTAGCCAGTAACTCACTGGAGGCTTGATTTTTGTCCCCCAGAGGTGACACTGTTTTCATGGTTTTGGTGGCTTCTGTTTTTCAGGGGCTGGAGGATACAATGGAGCATTGTGCCAGAAGTGTCTGAAGCTGTGGTGAGTCCTGGAGGCAAATTGTCCTTCTGTCTTAGTTAGTCAGGACCCACAACCTGGGGCCACATCACAGGGAGTCCAGATAAGCATTCCTTCCCTGGCAGGGGTTTTTTAGAGGAGGCCAGCCATGCCAGTTCTAAGTTCCAGGAGGCTACCCTCTCTGACCCTCAGCTGTGTCAAGCTTCACTGCTTAGAAGCAGATTGCCCTGTTCATCTGTCCTGGGTGATGTTTTCTACCAGGAATTGATGTGGGGGCAATAAGGGCTACTGTATCCCCCATACAGCCTGCTGGGTTGGGAGATGATCAGAATGTCACACAAGTAGTTCTGTCCGTCCTAGGTGCCTGAACCTCTGTCTGGCCCCTGCCTGGCTTGATTGTTAACAAGACCATGAGTACTTTTATACTACAGGAGGGTAGCTGTGACAGAGGCCACATGGCCCCTCAAATCTGATTATTGACAGAGGTTTGCTCTAAAGGGACTGTTGGGCCTGTGGGGCAGAGGGAGGCCACAATGCCTCTGGCCATACCTGACAGTCTGTGGAGTTCCTAGGGAATGGGGTGGTCTCTAAGGAGGCAAGCCCATGTCTTGCGCAGCTCTGGGACTGGAAGACCCTTAGGAGATTCTACTGAAGCAATAGAGTAGTGGTTCTCAACCTTCCTAATGCTGCAACCCTTTAATACAGTTCCTTTTGTTGTGGTGACCCCCAACCATAAAATTATTTCCATTGCTACTTCATAACTGTGATTTTTTTCACCTGTTATGAATCGTACTGTAAATATCTGATATGCAAGATATCTGATATGTGACCCCTGTGAAAAGGTCATTTGGCACCACCAAAGGGGTCATGACCCACAAGTTGAGAACTGCTACAAAAAAAGAGTCATGTGAACTTGCAGCCTTTCAAGGAGTGAGTGGGGGCAGTTCTGAGAGGCCATACCATTGGAGTGAGCTGGGAGAGTGAGTGAGGGCTGTGATCTACCACCACTGTGTCTGTCCTCCTGTGGGGACCTGCCTGCAGCCTGCCCACCCTGAGCCCAGCAGATGTCTTTGCATCCAGTCCTCTAACTGTATGGGGACCACAGCAACCTCCAGACCCCTGGGGCTGGGAGCATTCCTGCTGTTTTGTCAGTAATTTTTCTGAACTGTTAAATTCCAGTGGAAAATTCTCTCTCCCCTTTGACTGAAGGAACCTGCAAAGGAAGATCTGACCGTGTCTGAGAAGTTCCAGCTGGTGCTGGACGTTGCCCAGAAAGCACAGGTACCACCTCTGAGCTTGCCCATTACCCCAGAAGGGAAGAACCCTCACATGTCTGCTGTAGGTTAACCTGTGGTTCCATGCCTGTTCTAGTCAATCATTCTCACGCTGGTGAGGTGGCAGGGGAACGTGGCTTCCTGATGACTCTGACCTTATGTGGACGGAGCCTTTCACCACCAGAGCTCAATACCCCTAGAATTCAGGGCTGAGCATCCCCAGAACTTGGGGCTCAACATAGTCTGCCTACTTGTTACTTCCAGTGTCCTTAGCTTTAGACCAGACAACCTCAGACCTGGGAGTGGGGAGGCAGGACTACAGGGTTCTGGGGGTGTGGGCTGTGTATTTCCCTGGAGCCTTACTTGCTACTTCCAGTGTCCTTAGCTTTAGACCAGACAACCTCAGACCAGGACTACAGGGTTCTGGGGGTGTGGGCTGTGTATTTCCCTGGAGCCTTCTGGGTGTGTCTGTGTGACTGATAGGTACTCGGGCTTGTGGTCACTGCATTTTCTTCTTCACACAGAATCTCTTTGGCAAGATGGCAGATATTCTAGAAAAGATCAAGAAGTAAGTGGCTATCCCCACAGTGAGGGTGGTGTGTTCCGCCCCACCTGACCTCCGTCTTCCTTCCAGCTTGTTCATGTGGGTGCAACCCGAGATCACACAGAAACTGTATGTCGCTTTGTGGGCCGCCTTCCTGGCTTCTTGCTTCTTCCCTTACCGCCTGGTGGGGCTCGCTCTTGGTAAGGAGAAACGCCACTGTCCTGGGAGATGGTTAGTGCAAATGTCATACAAGGAATGGAGAATGGTCCAGAGTGCTCACCCTTTGTCTTCATGGATATATTCCTGCTTTCCCCTCAGGCCTCTATGCTGGCATCAAGTTTTTCCTAATCGACTTCATCTTCAAACGCTGCCCAAGACTTCGAGCCAAGTACGACACGCCCTATATCATCTGGAAGAACCTCCCCACTGACCCCCAGCTCAAGGAGCGTGCAGGTGCCACCGTGTCACGCAGGGTGAGTCCCCCAAACCCCACCACCCTGGGAAAGGTGCAAGCAGAACTATGAAGCTGATGGACCCTGACCTCTGTCTCTGCATCTTCTGCTCACTTGAAGCCTGGTGTTTTCCAGATCTTACCAGCCTTTGAGATAGATGGTGGAAAGCACCGTGGGGTTTCCCCCATCACCACCTCCCTCATGTCAGGGCCAGCCAGCCCTGGGAGGAGTGGTCCAGTGTATTCTCCTTAGGGTCTTAGGTGGGTGGGGTGCTCAGGCCCAGCAGTGTTCCCAGGAATGTGTAAGAAGTTACATTAGAGTCTCCATGTGAGTGTTTCCTCAGGAGGGAGTGCCCAGTGGCCCTCAGTTTTTTGTGGGACTAAAGCACTGAGTTCAGCGAGGAGGGTCACATGCCCCTGGGGTCCAGGACAGCATAGATTATTAGGAACCTGAGATCGGCCATAGGCCAGAGCAGCCAGGCCTGGAGCTGACTCTCTTCCTACAGGTAGAGCTCACCCCAGGACACAGCTTGGCCTTTTGGGATAGCTCAGGGGCTTATTTTAGCCCTGGAATGGCTGGGACAGGGACTTCCTAGGGCTTAAGACCATGTAGCACTAGCTAGGATATGGCTGGAGGCCGCCCCCTACCCCCTCTTTGTCCCCTGTATCCCACAGGCCCCATGTGTCTGTGCCGAGTTCCGCTCTTTTTGCTTACAACTTCACATCACATGTACCCCCTTTTCTTCTTTTGTGATGGTAACATGTCTGTCTGTTGTCTCCTTCCTGGCCAGCTGTCAGGGCATGACAAGGTACTGTGTCCGTGTGGAAGCCCTCTTGGGCCTGCTGTGAGCTGATGGTGTGTCATTGCTGTGTTGTGACTGATTTTCTAGTTGTGTGGCCAGTTGACTTCTAAAATGTCAGTTTTTTGTTTTTTGGGGTTTTTGTTTTGTTTTGTTTTGTTTTTTTTTGTTTTTCAAGACAGGGTTTCTCTGTGTAGCTTTGGAGCCTATCCTGGTACTCACTCTGGAGACCAGGCTGGCCTCGAACTCACAGAGATCCGCCTGCCTCTGCCTCCCAGGTGCTGGGATTAAAGGCGTGCGCCACCAACGCCCGGCTAAAATGTCAGTTTTAACTGACTTAGTGCAGAACCCATGCTAGGCAACTGTGTCCTTGTGTTTTGTGTGCTGGGGCCCAGGCTTAGATTCAGCTCTGTGGGCCTAGGAAGACTGAGCATCTCCAGGGGAAAATGCCACCTCCCCCACCCCATTTAGCCCAGGTTGCAAGTGGAATTTCAGGGCCAGCACTGAAAGGTGCCTGTCGGGGTTGCACCTCATATTTTCCTTAAGGGATAGAGCCTGCCAGTCAGTTTACAGCTGGTCTAGGCAGGGAAACTAGTGTGTTCCAATACCAGCAGCAGGGCCAGCTTTTTCTCTCTAGAGCCTGATCAGGACTGTGTGTTGTTGGCAGCTTCAGACAACCTCATCACGAAGCTACGTCTCCAGTGCTCCAGCTGGTCTGAGTAAGGATGAAGATGCTGGCCGCTTTCACAGCACCAAGAAGGGCAATTTCCATGAAATCTTTAACTTGACTGAAAACGAACGCCCACTAGCAGGTGAGTCTGTGATGAGTCCATGACCCAGCCAGTCATGGAGTAGGTGGAAGTAGATGGGCAGGGTCTGAGCCCAGGCAGGAGGTGTGACCCCGCCTCATGGACAGGCTGAAGGAACCTGTGAGGAAAAGGCCCAGACTTACTTCCCAGGAAAGGTGACACAGGAGTGGGGTCTTGGGTTGTTCCAGGAATCAGGAAGAGGTATGACATCATATTCTCTATCCTGTGTTATCCACATAGATTCAAGTAGGCCTTCTTGAAGCAGGAATCCCCATGGAGTGGGGCTCAGCCCTCCCAACCTGCTGGGGAGTCCCATATCATTAGCATCAAGGTGCAAACCTGAAGCCTGTTCCCTAGCCCAGGCATGTTCTGGCACTTTGACTTGAGTATACGACCTGTCACAGGTACCTCAAGACAGTCAGCCTTCTGGAAAAGTGTTCAATAAGTGCCTAAGAGGCAGGGTCTGGAGTTTGGCTCCCTTTCTTGAGAGTCTTCTTCAGGACTGTAGGCCTGATGTGTGGAAAGCTGCCTAAGGCAGTGAGAGGGCTGCATCTTGATGGGTTACTGTGAGAGGAAGCCATTCTCCCAGACACTAGGTGATCTCACTCCTGGCAGGCCTCTCTCCCGCCACTGTAGACTCTGGTATTCACAGTGCTGGGATGGAGCCCAGGGCTGCCCCCATGCTAGGTGAGCACTGTGACCCCATCAGCCCACACCTGGACCTTTTCTGATGGTCCCTTGTGGATGTGGGTACCTCTTTGACAAGTCAGTGCTCCCAGGCACCGACACAGGTCAAGGCCCAGGTATTCCCGAGGAAGGAAATTCCAGGTCCGTTTTCTCCATCAGTGTGTGAGAATGGTTGGCGTTGCTGCCTCATAAACCGAGACCGGAAGATGCCCACGGACTACATCAGGAACGGGGTTCTATATGTGACAGAGAAGTGAGTGTCGCCGTAGGCTGAAGCATGTCTGTTGGGGAGGAAGTGGGAGAGGGTCCTCCCCAGGTTCCAGACACATGCCCAGGTCCAGCAAAGAAGTGCTACAGCTTAGCCTCTGTTCCCCACTCTACCCAGCTGTCTGGCCTTCCTGACCCCATTCTGGGACCAGCATGCCCCCTCCTTTAGGCTGATGGGTTCTCTCATCCCGGATGCTCATGTGGGGTCAAGGCTATTCAGATGGGCAAGGGGTATAAGCTCTCAGGAAGGGGGCTTTATAGTGAGTGTCCATGACACCTTGCTGTCTGAGGCTAAGCTAAAGGTAGCTTTGGCATTTCTCTCCTTGTTATACCTCAGCACTGTCCTTGCTATACCTCAGCACCCCCATGGGATTTAAGGGCTATAACAGGAATAGGGTATATGATCATCTTCAAGGGGCCCTTTTCCATCCTGTCTCCCATATATGCAGCAGTAGCCAAAGCCCTAAATACCTTACCCTGCCAAAGAAGTTGGCCCAGGAGAGCCTGGTGGGGCCTCAGGACACTTCCCTACAACTCCTGCTGGGAGTCTTCTGGGAGAGAAAGGGTGTTCAGTTTCTTCCAGGTGCTGAGTGTGGTGGGTCACTGACAATCCCACGGGGCTGTGGAGGCAGTCGGGGAGGACCCTACTTAGCAGGAGCCCTTCTGGTCCGGCTGCTATCTCGTGCCTCTGCATTTCCTCCCCGTCTAGTTATCTGTGCTTCGAAAGCTCCAAGTCTGGGTCCTCAAAGAGGAACAAAGTGATCAAGCTGGCGGACATCACAGACATCCAGAAGGTGAGTGCCCACCCAGCCTGGCGTACTTCGGGCCTGGGATGTCAGGGGCCACAGAGCTGGAGAGGTTTGCAGGTATGATTCTAGGGTTGGGGGGGCGGCTGCTATCTAGAGGCTTCTTCAGGTGCTGCTGCCACCAGTGTTGCCGCTTGTCTTCTGAAAGTCTCTGTGCAGAGCCCTGTCAGCTAGCTTCCTTCTGAGATAGTTGTGTACCTTGGGCCTCAGTGTAGTCTTACTTCTCCCACATTCCTGGGAGTCAGCAGCTGGCCTGGACACTATTATACATGCAGAAAAGGGCAACAGTGAGGTTTGCCTGAGCTGTTGTGCTCCCCTTGAGAAAGGATCTCAGGTAGCACAGGCTGACTTTGAACTCAGTTTATTTTGTGCTGCTAGGAATCAAACTCAGGACTTCATACATGTTAAAAAAAAAAAAAAAGCATTCTACTAACTGAACTACGTCTTAGCCCTTGCTGTGTCTTGAAGGAAGAGTCTGAGTTTATCATAGACCTTCCACCTGTGTCTGAGACTGCTTCCCCCACCTCTCAGTAAACATTGGGCTCCTGCCACAGGCACTTACAAATGAGCACAAAGAGATTTGTATCCGCAGAGTGAGGCTCAGCAGTTTCTGTAGACAGTTGGCATGTAGGGTGTGCAGTACCTGGAGGAAACATTCATGGGAGTTTAGTTCTCTGAAACAGGAATCTATTGAGCATGGAGCCAATCAGCTTCGCCAACTGAGTAGCCTGTGTGCGGGCCAGCAGCCTAGATGTTAATAGACCTAGTACTAGCCTAGGTTCAGCCCATAGCTGTATGGTCACTCCTCCAGGTTCACTGTCAGGTAACCAGAAGGCAAACAGTCAGGGCCATGATCATCCTAGCCTACCCTTAGTAAATCAGCCATGCTGACAGGTGGCCTCACACAGACTATCAGCCACAGGGAGTGCATGGGGGATACCACAAAATCAGGAGACACAGCCCTTTTACCTCCTGTGGCTGAGATTTCCTAGGCCTCTGTGGGTCTTCGTGTCTGTGTGTCTGGCAGAGGAGGAATGCCCTGGGCACAAAGGGCACTGGCTTCACCCCTGTTCTTGGGGGAGGCTGGTGGTGATGGCTGTGTTTGCCTTTCAGTACAAAGTCTTGTCCGTCCTCCCTGGCTCAGGCATGGGGATTGCTGTATCAACTCCATCAACCCAGAAAGTAAGTGCCTGGCAAATGAGTACACCCTACCCCATCTGCCACCAGGGGACCTAAGTGAGCCTCCTGGGATGTGGTTTCAGTTTGGGCAGAGGCTACTTTCTCCCAGAAAATTTAGCATGGGTAGATGCCATAGAGTTACAGGACAGACAGGTTGGTGAGGCCCAGAAAAGGAGTGGATCCTGCATCCATCTGCGTAGGAAAGGCTAAGTACCCTTATAGGCTGGAACCTTTCGGGTGAGAGGAGTATCTAGTCATTTGCTCTGGCCAGGCTGCTGTCTGGATCTGATAGGGTCATTCTAGCCCTAGCCTGGCTATGACATGCTCACTCCTCCACCACCACCCCTGCCCTCCATTTCTTCCCACCAGCCCCTGGTGTTCGGCGCCATGGTGCACAGAGATGAAGCCTTTGAGACCATTTTCAGCCAGTATGTGAAAATCACATCTGCAGCAGCCTCTGGCGGTGACAGCTAGTATTGACTCTGAGGTGTTGTTGGAATCCTTTCTAATCGTTGGCTAAAGGGTCAGATGGGATGTCCTTCTCATCTTTGGCAATAATTCTCCTGGACTATGGCTAGTTATGGCAGCCTGGGTTTTGCAGACCTGAAGGGCTGGGACTTACCTGGACAGTGTCGGGCTGGCCCGTGCTGAGCGCGTGAAGCACCGTTGAGGACACCTGTGGACACGGGTGGGCAGAGGATCCTCTTAACCCGTTTGAAGGATGGCACACAAGGTACTCGTCCTCAGGTCCTGCTAAGCACAGCTCCTCATTCTCCATCCCGGCCTGGGTACAGACCCAGCACCTGCCATCATGAGAGAGTGGTTGTGGTGCCTTCTTGCCGGGATGGTAAGACAGAGAGAAGTGGTGGGGAGGCCCCTCTCCAGTGAAGAAATGGCCAGTCATCTCACTCGGCCCTCAGATTCTCCTTCCATGCTGGACCTACTGTGGACACTGCAAGGCTTTGGGTAGGGCCTCTCAGGGCTTGGTATGTTTGGGGTACCTCCCCCTCCATTTTCAGTGTCTGGTCCTGAGCTGTCATTCATCAGACCCATCTTGGTTTGACATTCCAGCCAAGAGACCAGGCCAGTGGTTGATGGCCAGCAAGGGTCCAGAATGGCATGTTGGCAAAAGCACACTTTTTTTAACACTTGGCTTTTCGGGAAGGTTTTTGAGGGCATTTGGCCTCCAAGCTGCAGCCCCTCCAAGTAAAGGGATGGGTTCAGGGAGATAAGGGAGGGCCCTGTGCCACAGGAGATAGCTGTGGGCAGAGCCTAGAGGTTGGGGGGGTCTGAGTTGCCCTGTACCTCTAACATCTAACAGTATTTCTTCTTCCTACATGCTCAACAAGGGCCAGGCAACCCCACCCTACCCATGCTTCCTGCCCCAACCAAGGTGGAGATTGCCTGGGTGGGTGATCTTGCAGGCCTGGGACTCTGAAGGGTGCAACCACCACCCCACCTGTGCATTTTCCAGGTGGATCACTCTGACTCCTTCAGCTTGTCCTGAGTCCTTCAGGTGTCACTGAGATCGTTTTTTTTGAAGAAACAGAAGATTCTATTTTTTACAGAGAGCAAGCTGTTTTTCTTATTTTTGTATCATTTTTCAAATGTAATTTTTACCTTTGCTCCAATCCTCATTTGCTGGTGTGGGTGTGAGGCCTGGTGGCTTGGGCTCATGACACCCCATTCCCAGGGGCTTCAGACCACACACTGGGGTTGGGAAAGGCTTGCCAGGCGGCCAGATCAAGCACACATACCACCCCAGATGTTCCACAAAGGCCTCACAGCTCCAGGTACATAGGTGAAGGAGTCTGAACATGGAGGCAGGACCCTCCTCCATCCAGAGCTGTGGCTTGGGCCTCTGTAATATGCTCGTGCTCTGAAGAGCATAGAGTGTAATAAGAGGACCTGGTGGCACTTCCAACATGCTAGAGGGGAGGAAGCATGGCCTCTGACCTGTCTCTGGGGATGACTGTATGGGTGATGCCCACACATGGTGGTTAACACTTCCTAGAACCTGGCAGTGCCTGAGCTGGCGAATGCTGCCGCTGAGGTGCCACCCAGAGGCCTTGAGCTGAATGGGCTTTTATGGTGGAACAAGAAAGAGGTTTAGTTGGAGTCTCTTTCTCTTGGAAAGAGAGATGAAGACTGACCACGGGCCAGGGGGACAGGGCTGGGCCAGGGGCCTGTGAAGGCAATGGCATACTTAGAGACACTGGGGTTTTTATTGGATTGTGTGATTTGAACAAGTGTTTAATTTCTGACTAATCACTGACCTAGAATGTTCAATTTCGTATATCTGAAGCTTGAGTCTGTTTTGGATCTGTACATAATTGTTATTGGTGTAACTTTTGTTCTACAAAAGGATCATATTCTATAAAGAACTGATAGGAAAAAAAATCCTCTGTCACTTTTTTTTAAAAGAAAAATCTTGTTTAGATACAAAGTCTTGTATAAATTATAATTTTTATTTAATAAACCTTAAAATGCTCTGTGCTAAGGCTCAGGTGCTTCTGTTTTTGGCGGTGTGTGTAGATGTTGGTTGTTAGGGCAGCTGGGTTGCCAACCCCTCCTGCCCTGCTGCCCCCCAAGGCTGACACCACACTAGAGTCCTCATGGCCACCACTGTAGCAGGATTCAGCACAAAACCGCCTGGGAGAATGAAGGCTTGGATATGAAGTGGGGTCCTGGTAGTGAGTGCTGTTTGCTCTACTGCACCCCCTGGTGTGAGGGATACTGGGAACAGAAGGTAGACTCTGGGTCCCAGGTGATGGGCCAGATGAGAGGTAGCTGGCCCTGGGTATGTGTGTGTGTGTGTGGGGGGGGGGGGGGTGGAGCTGGGCAAGGCTTTGGGGTTGGGT